TGTGCCCAACCTGGCCATACCCGATCAAACTGCTCTGCACAATCACGAACATGTGCCAACTGTGGCAGCCCCCATAATGTATTTTATAGGGGCTGTCCCACCTACAGATTTGAGTCTGAGGTAGCAACTCTCAGATTCAAACTTGGACTCACACTGCGTGAAGCCAGACAGGAAGCACGTCGACGTGGTTTCTCTCTTACTTCTTACTCCAGTAACATTGCTCATTCTACCACATCTCCTAAACCCACCCCTCCTACATCTAACTCCCCCTCTTCTCTTTTGCCATCCTAAATCCAGACACTCCAATCTCTACTACAGACACTCCAATCTCCACTACAACCCCAACACCTTCCCCTCTCCCTCCTCGCCCCTACTCTTGAGACACCAGTCCTCTCTTCCCCCCCTCACAAGAAATCCTTTATCTCCCAAAACTCCCCAACCAACTCCTCAGAAGAAACTATTGAAAATATTCAAGATTACTTAATGAAAACTGACACTCAACCTTCAAATCCTACAACTCCTGCTCCTTCCACACTCCAAATGACTGCCGATATCCATCCTCCTCCTAATGATATCCCCCCTACACCCCATCCTCCTACCCCCTCCCAACACAGCCCATCCCCCCGACTCCAACCCCGCCCACATTAACCCTTCCACCATCCCCTCTATCCCTTCCACTCCCTCCTGGATACACACGTGAATCCCTTACGTCACAAGTATCCCCATCCTCAGACCCTCCATCTCCTAATACCCCTCCTAATAGAACACCAACTCCCACACCCCTCCCATCTCAAACCTCTCAGTCCTTATCCCACCCTCTAGCTGCTTCCCCCTCAAATTCTCCAAGGCGACTAAAATCTATATCACTAACGTATAACTATCCTTCACTGGAATATTCGCGGTTTCCGCTCTCACAGACCCGACCTTCGCCATATCCTTTCCTCTTATAACCCATCCATTGTATGCCTCCAAGAGACCTTTCTTACACATCCACCAATTCCAATTCCCAATTATCATTTTGTCTCTTCCCCACACTCCCTTTATGTCTCGTCAATACTTATCAATCGGAAAACACCTCCCTTTCAAACCAATATCCCATGCACAGTTATTCGTACCTATCTTCATCGTTGGATCACAGTGATCTCAGTCTACTTCTCCCCTTCCCACCCCATTGACTTTGTTGCTTTCGAAAATCTAATTTCCCAACTTCAACCACCTTTCCTCATAGTTGGTGACTTTAACTGCCGCCACACTCTTTGGGGTGATTCTATCACCAACTCCCCAGGCCAATCCCTAAAGCGCTTCCTCTCCACAGCTGACATTATTCTAAATTTAGATCGCCCCACACACTTTGATACACGCACGCAATCTTTTTCATGCATTGACCTCTCTCTATGCTCCCCTTCTCTTCATTTAGATTTCCACTGGTCAGTCTTAGACCACTTTCCCTATAGTGACCACTTTCCAGTTCTCCTTTCTCCTACTTCATATGTACCACTTTCTCGCTCCCCACGCTTGTGCTTTGATGGGGTACTTTCACTTCACTCTCTGCTATTCATACCCCACCATCCTCCCTCTCCTCCATTTCAGAAATGATACAGTATTTCACAACTACAGTCCTAAGAGCTGCACATACAGCTATCCCTCGAACCTCAAGACCCTATACCTCCAAATGTGTTCCATGGTGGAATTCTGATTGCACTAAAGCTTAAAACGTGCAGCCTGGAACAGTTACCGCTATAAAATATGTACTTCAAATCAACTATCAGCCCTTATCTCCTTTAACCCATTCGCGCCGGGCGTCACGTATACGTGACGGGCCCACTGTGAGTTTACTTGTTTGATTGTTTACAAACATAGATGGCTCCACTTGCACTTGTACTGCCTGTCTCGTCTGTTTACCCTTTTTTTTAATTTACGAAATTATTTTGCGTTATCTTATTTTGCTGTTACTAATGTTTATAATATTATAGTAATTATAATGTTTATAATAAAAATAACCATCGATATTCATAGCACTAGTAAAAATACATTTTCCCGCTAAATGAAATCAGGTAAAGCAGAGCCATCTAGTGTAGAGAAATTTCATTAAAAAAATATAAAAAATAAGCACAGCATTTCCCCCATTTTTTGTTCATTTTTAACCGGCGCGAATGGGTTAAAAGAGCATCTGCCTGTCTTCGTCGTACAATCCGGAATAGTAAAACAAATAGCTGGCGAAATTATGTTTCATCAATTACATCTTCTACATCTATCTCAAATGTTTGGCGTCGAATCCATAAACTATCAGGCAAACACCCCCCCCATCCTGCCCCTGTCCTCCATATTCGAGATACCCTCATTTCTGAACCTCTCCAAGTCGCTAATGAACTGGGTGAATATTTCAGCCAGGTCAGTAGTGGTTCTCACCTTTCTCCACACTTCTCTTCTATTAAGACCATCAGAGAACGCACCCCCATTACCTTCACCCCATCCTCCGCTGAGTCCTATAATGCTCCATTTTCTTCCTCTGAACTCAATGCTGCCTTACAATCGAGCCGCAACACTCATGAAGGCCCTGACGGTATTCACTACCGTATGCTCCGGCAACTTCCATCTTCCTCCTTATCCTTCCTGTTAAAAATTTACAACCACATTTGGACATCAGGAAATTTTCCTTCTAATTGGCAAGAAGCACTTATCCTTCCCTTCCTAAAACCCAATAAATCCCTTAAGACTATCGCCCCATCGCACTAACTAGCTGCTTGTGCAAACTATTATAGCAAACTTTTTATATTTTTGTGAAATATCTCTGTCCATAGATGGTTCTGCTAGTTCTGATTTCACCTTTCCTTAAATTGGCGGGAAAAACGTATTCTTACTAGTGCTATAAATATAGATGGTGTTATTTTTAACAGCAAATTAGGATAACGTTAAATATTTTCGTAAATCGATGAAAAGGGTGAACGGGCGAGACAGGCAGTACTCGAATTGGCTCATTGGATACTTAGTACAAGTGTAGCCATCTATGTGTAAAAACAATCGAACAAGTCGACTCACAGTGGGCATGGCATGTACGCACATGCCATCCCCGGTGGCAATGGGTTAATGTGGTATCTTGAATCTCACAATCTTCTCTCTCCTTCCCAATTCGGTTTTCACCGAGCCAGAAGCACAGCTGACCCCCTTGCTCATTTTGAGACATATATTACATTCACATTAGCACGCCATGAATCCGTACTAACTATATTTTTTGATCTAGAAAAAGCACATGATACGACATGGCGGTACCATATTCTCCAACAATTGTCCTCTCTAGGCATACGTGGAAACATGGGTGTCGTCATAAAGTCTTTCCTCTCCCAACGCACTTTCCAGGTCAAAATTGCCTCTGCCACATCATTTTTCTTTCCTCAAATCGAAGGTGTCCCACAAGGCAGTGTGCTCAGTACCACTTTATTCCTTCTTGCTGTTAATGATATTGTCTCAGTTTTACCACCAGGAGCCCGGTCATCACTATGTGTTGATGATTTAACCATCTATGCCTCTGGCACATCCATACCAAATCTCTACCAATTTCTTCAATCTGCAATCTCATCAGTATCTTCCCGGGCCACAAACCATGGCTTCCGTTTTTCTACCTCTATATCTTTCTCCATCCTTTTCTCTCGCTCACGTGTAGGTCCCCTACCCCCACTCTTCTTATACGGCACTCCACTCCAATGCCGGCAAATTCCTAGGTGTCATTTTTGACTCCAAACTGTCCTGACGAGACCATATTCTACACATTAAATAAAATGCTCTCTGCCGCCTTCGAATCTTAAAAACTCTATCCCATATATCATGGGGCTCAGATCGCAAAACTCTCCTTCATCTTCATGTTACTTTGATCCTCTCCACTCTTGATTATGGATGCCATATCTACTCCTCTCCTTACCCATCTCGATACAATCTATCACTGTGGTTTTCGCTTAGCACTAGGTGCCTTCCGCTCCTCTCCAGTTGAGAGCCTGTACACTGAATCAGGCATACCATCTCTATCTCGACGTCGTGCCCTTCTCTCTCTCCGATGTTATGTTCGATTCCACCAACTTTCCCTCACTAAACTAACTATCCCACAATCCCAACTTCCTACTTTAGCTTCATCTCCACGTTTACCTACACCTTTCTCCACTCGCATGGATACCCTCCTCTCCCATTCCCCTTTCCCCCATCTCCAACCTCTCCCATTCTCTGTCCATTCCGTCCCTCCATGGCTTATACCTCACCCCTATATTTGCTCTTCTGTTTTCCCCGACCCACCAAAATCAAATATTCCTCCTGCTGTCCTTCTCACCCATTTCCTTGACCATGTCTCCACTCATTCCTCTAGTATTCGCGTATATACTGATGGCTCCAAATCCACCTCAGGTACTGGTTTTGCAGTAATCTTTCCAAGTCGTACTTTCAAATACTCCCTTCCTCCTGAATCCAGTGTCCTTACTACAGAACTGTATGCACTCCTTTTTGCCCTAAAACTTTCTCCTCTTCCTCTTTTACAATTTTTACTGACTCCCAAAACTCAGTAACTCTCATGAAGTCAATACACACCACCAACCCCCTTGTTTGTAAGATCCAGAACTGGTTGTTCTACCTGTCCACACGCCATAAAACAATCAAATTTTGTTGGGTACCCAGCCATGTTGGAATCCCCGGCAATGAACAGGCATATCATACCAACCACGCTTATCACATATCCCAGCCACGGATTATTACTCACACTTTAAGACCTTGTATAACCGATGGCAATCTTTTTGGTCAAGCCTCAGCACTAATAACTTACATTCTGTAAAGCTATCAATCTCCTCCTGGTCAGCTCCATTTCATCGGAACAGACGTTGGGAGACCGCTCTCGCCCGCTTACGCATCTGATGTCACAATCTGATCCACCTCTATTTTCCTTATGTAATGTTCCCCTTTCAATCCCACACATCCTATTGTCGTGCCCACGTTTTGAAGCAGCCCGTACCTCTGCTTTCCCC